GTACCTAGGCTTATAAGCATGAGCTACAGGTGTCCTGCGCCAATATGCTTTTTTAAGGTTTTTTTGAAAATTAAGAAATGGCTTTTTCCCCCCAAAATATCTAAGCAAGTCTTCCTAAATTCTCATACCAAAAATGATATAGGAAAGATGAAGACGGTCAAATGGAGATACTAAATACAAAGTAATCAGATAGATAGATTATCTGTTAAGAGCTACAAGATTGAAAATGTGGTCCAAATTAACAAGTATTATATTTAGTAGTTTCACGTAGCATATTTTATTAAAATCTGGATCCTGCGAAACTATTTTATGGCTTCTCAGCTACCAGAAATGCAAATATTTGTTCTGCCAGTTCTCTTTAAAATCTTCCAGCATACTGTTAAGCAATAAACAGTATTCCAACATACTTGCTTCTAAATCTGCGCCCTGATCTCTTAATGTAGAATGCAGTGTAGAAAATTTCACATGAATATAAGCCATTGGTTCTCAAGTGGAAGTGACTTGCCTCCTGCCCTGAGGAGACACTCGGCAATGTTAGTGAATACTTTCACCGTCAACAACTGTAGGAGTGAGAGGGTTGGGTAGGGCTGCTATCTATAGGGAAGAAGCCAGGTGGGGTAATAACCCTAAAATTCACTGGAGTCCACTACAGTTACTCAGCTCAAAGTGCTGATTGATAGGTGCTTTAGTAAAACAAAACAGTCCCCAACACATCTTCCTACAGAAGTGTTAATACCTCCATGTGATTTTTGCCTCAAGTCAGCATTTCCAGTCGGTGGAAATAGCTTGTAAACCATAATAAGCTGTTGTTGCTATGATATGAAAGTTTGTGTTCTCTTAAAATTCCTATGTTGAAACCTTAACACTTTATGTGATACGTAAGGGTGGGCCTTGGGAACTTGACAGCGTTATGAGGGCTCTCTATGAATTGAATGGGTATCTTGACAAAAGAGTCTGGAACAAGTTCCTTTTTCCCTTATATCTGCGAGCACACAGCAAGAGGTGACATTTTTGAAGTCCTATCAGAAGATATGGATCTTCAGGTACACCTCAATCTTTGATTTGCCAGCCTGCAAGAACTGTGAGCAACTAATTTCTGTTGTTTAGAAGTCACCTAGCCTACGGTGCTTTTTCAAAGTAACAGAAGTGGACTGCGACAGATGTGCACTTATTTGGTGCATATGTCTACTCATTTTTAATTCCTCTGAAAAACTGAGTTTCTACTGTAAATACTAAAATGTCAGAATATTACATACTGTCATATAAGTGGGGAAATATTTGCCTGACATGTTTTCATTGATCTGTGATTCTTCCAACATTTATTCTTCCTGTTTGAAAGCATATACAGTAAAGAAAACCTTGACACAGGAAAGCAGGAAGAACTACTATAAATAAGCTGTAGTGGACATTTGTTTAAAGGCAAAATAAAGTCACACCACAACCAGAGAACTGCTTTCTTGATTTTATTTCAAAAGTACACAAAGTCACAAAACTAAGAGCAAGTTTTCATTTTGTTTTAACAAAATTTGTTCTTACAGTCTTTAAAATCTGCACCATTGGATATGTAAGTCAGATATTTTAAGTATAAAATCTGAAATTGACACTGTCAGTGTTCCATTTTTGCAAATGTAAAGTGTCAAAGTACATTTTTCAGTAGTACAAATGTATTCATCACTAAAATTCACAGGGACAATTAGTGAATTGTAAATTGTGGTTCTCTTAACTTCTGTCAAGTTAGCAGAAGACACAAAGCTCCTTCTTGGATGAAATCTTTCATGTACATGACCAAAACCAACAACTGGTAGTTGCTATAGTCCTTTTTTTGTTTTGTTTTGTTCTTTTGTAGGGTTGGAACTCAGGATCTGGGTGCTGTCCCTGAGCTCTTTCACCCAAGGTTAGTATTCTACTACTTGGAGCGACAGTGCCTCTTCCAGTTTTGTGGTGGTTGATTAGAGATAAGAGTCTCACAGACTTTCCTGCCTGGATTGGCTTTGAACCACGTTCCTCAGATCTCGGCCTCCTGAGTAGCTAGGATTGTAGGCGAGAGCTACCAGCGCCTGGCCACTATATTCTTAAATTACAAAAGAGGACAAACATTTTGTACAACTTGATTTTAATTAAGAGGCTAGTGTTACCATCCACAGGATAAATTGTCAGCCTTCTGTAGAAAAAGATAAGCAGATCCACAATTCACCAACTTATTTCTTACTGTTCCCTGCTCAGTTATTTTAGTGTCAAAGTAGGCAAACAAGAGATTCTATTGCAAAACATGTTGCCTTTATTGCTGCAATATCCAAAGACATTTGAAATATTAAAACTTGCCCAGAACATTTGTGCCACTAAACACAGGAACATTTTAAAGATATATGTACATATTTATAATATATAATGTCACAAGACACTAAAAGGTAAAAATTGGGCCAACACTTTCTACAAAGCACTCTGTATGTGACACAACAAAGCATTAACCACATAAAACATGGACCTTTTTTCTTTTTCACACTGAAATAAGGCATGTGAAAACCCTAAACAGTGCTGCGGGAAAACTAGAGGGAAAACTACAAACATTCATAACTTCAGTTTACATGCTGCACACACACCCAGAAATTGAGAACAGTTGTTTTAGGAAGCACTATATTACAGAATTTGAAAGCCAACTTCATGCAATGGGTTCTTAACATTTCATCAAGATGCTGACTTGCCTTTTCACTTGCTCCCAAGTTTCTTGCATTGTCTAACATTATCTTTGTCATCACATACTTTTTTCTTTTTCGTTGGTATTAGAGATCAACTCCAGGCCTTTGTGCATGCCAGGCAAGCATTCTACTACAGAGCTCTATCGCCAGGCCTTGGGTTTCTTGAGACTGATTTCACTAGATAATCTAGGCGGGCCTGAAACTCTCCATCCTCCTGCATCTGTGCTGGGATTACAGGTGTCAACTACACCTGACAGAAATCAGTTATTGGTTTATATACAAATGTATACCAAGAATTATTTGGATTTTTTTCCAATTAAATTCCCCCCAAGACCTATTCAGGTTGTGTTTCCATTGTAACAAACCCTTGACAAATAACTCAATTTAAAAATTTGTACAGAGTAATTTGTAAGTGCAACCAATAAGAGAACATTCTCAGAGAATGGGAAGCTAAAAAGGAAATATTAATAAGATTGTCAATAAGAAAAAGAATATGTGTAAACTACTTCATATTCAAAGCACAGAACTATAGAACACATATTATTATTTCTCTTTAAATTATCCTATGAAAATTTAACCTAACTGTACCTCAGGTACAACGTAGATCCAGTTTGGCTACTAACTGGTGCTATAAGCCTAAAACGAAATTGTGTCATCTACTCTTAATCACAACCAAGAAGTCTGTTATGGTTACACTATTTTTTTTCACAAGTTTGTTTTTCATATTATAGTTTGTATGAATCTGAACTAATACATTTCCTGGGAAAGATTTTGTGAGAGTTGGCATTAGATAAATAGGTAGTCTAAGAGAAAGACAGTCTTGGACCCATCTACTTTCTGTGTAATTTCTACTTAGATTGACAGCATAATCTGCATGAAAATCAGAGATAGGCTATATCTAAACATCTTCATTATTAAATTGTGTTGTTGTTGTTTTTCTTACAATACCTTATAAAACAGGCCAAATATCTACCTTTCAAAAATAGCTATTATAAAAGTAGAGGAGCTGGGAAGGTGGCTCAGTGGTAGAGCATTTACCTTGCATGCATGAGGCCCTGGGTTCGATTCCTCAGCACCACATAAGCAAAAAGCCGGAAGTGGCGCTGTGGCTCAAGTGGTAGAGCGTTAGCCTTGAGCTGAAGAGCTGAGGGACAGCGCCCAGGCCCAGAGTTCAGGCCCCACGACCGGACCCAAAAAAAAAAAAAAAAGTAGAAACACAGTCAAAGAGTGTTGGGATCATTAAAAATTTTAAATCCTTATGAATAGCATCATCACTGATGCTACAAGGGAAACAACAGGAGGATGCGGAAGAGGAGGTGGTGGAGGAGGAAGAGGTGGAGGCAAGAGTAAAAGGAAGAGGATAGGAAGGTGTCACAGTGCTGTGTTTGAGAAACAGTAGTACCTTCACCACTAAGCACCTGCCAGGTAGGTGACAGCCAGCTCATAGGCACCAGGAAGTCATCATAGAAATCAAATTACCCCCAAAAGGCACAGATGAAAATGCTAACACAAGTATAAAAGGTAATTTTATGTAAAGAACCTAGTTTTTAAAAAATGCTTCCAAGGATGTAAAACTGTACACTAATCCATCACATAAACATTTGCCTTAAGTTTACCATTACAAAGTATACACAGTACTCTGCCTAATCGTAAATACATGCCGGCATATTTATAATGTAGCGTTGACCACCACAGCACCCAAAGAGATGAACAGAAACCAACTCCCTACTAAAATCTAGGGAAAAGGTTTGGAGCTAATGCAATAATTTATTACAGACCTTATTTACTATAAAGAAAACTGTTGGCTCAATATACTATCTCCACGCTCCCTCATAATCTGAAGGGAAATAAAAGAAATTCACTTTCTTCTACTAAAACAGCACTTAACACATTTGGCAACTAGGAGTATTCCTTTCACCCCTTGTTCTTTTCCTTTAATAAGAGAAAGTTAAGATTGAAACTTTCTCAAAGCTCAGCTTGATTTGCAGATCGACACCAAGACAAGTTTGGCCTCATACTAGCAAGTGTCCACATTCTTCCATGTCTGGAATTCGGAATGGAGGGAAGCTACTTGCCTAAAACATATTTGATCGCTGAGTTTAAAATAAACACATCCTTCTGGGGCTGGACTCAAAAGAGTAAGCTTAGGATTGGACTACATGTTTCTAAAACAAAAGAGTACACTTAAGATTTACATTTCATAATTAGAGGCAAGTTCAATCTATAACTGTCAGATAATAAACAAGTTATAATATTTTTCTTAATAGAAAGACACCATCAAAAGTGAGGAGCAGTGTGAGGGTAGCAGGCCACGACAGGCCTGGACGCCACGGACCACCCATGCATTAATGATCCTATCCTCACTGTTGCTCTGAAGGTGTCACTGATATGTGTGTGACAGGTATTCCTTTACTGTAATGTATAAACCAGGTTACTATGTCCTTTTTGCCTTTTCAGTTAATTAAATGATTAAGAAATCATTTCTGAGCCAAGAATGATAGTGCACAGCTGTAATCCCAACATTTGGGAAATTGAGGAAAATTGAGAGGCTACCCTGGACTACATAACAAGACCCTGTCTCAAATTTTTATGAATGATTTGGAAGTAAAACTAGTCCTTTCTAAAACACTGTAGTATCTTGTACTATTAGAGATACTCCAAGTACATTTAGAGTTTTCAAAGAATATTCAGAAATAAGTACAAACATAACAAAGTTGATATCCCAGAGATTTTTAACTAATTTTAACTAATTTGGGGAACACCATTGGGTCATAAATAAATGAGACAGACCTCCTAAAATGCCTTCAGCATCACCTATTATTCAAAGTGCTACATCTTTTACTTCAGGACTCATATTCTGATACCTTTATAATCAACCTCTAAGAAAATCTATCTTTTTCCCCAGATGGTGACTTTCTTTACAATCTATATAATGCTCTTATTTTTTTCCCAATAGAACCAAACAAAATTTTGTGAACATTTCTGTTTGTTAAATGCTTTTTTCCGAGATATTTTGAGGCTGTTGACAAAATTTAGAGTGAATAGGATCCTGTAACAAGAGAATAAAAAAAACACAGAGTAAAAAAAAAAACAAACCAAAAACCACAAAGAAGTACAGGGGCTCTATACGATAGACCCATCCTTGCTCTGTGCTGGAATCATCACTGGAATGGCTCCCATTCGACTTAGATTAGGGACAGCTACCTTGGCAGGAGCAAGAGTAGGACTCTGAGGAGCACGGTCAAAGTCTTCGCTTGGTACTTGGTTATAGGGAGTCTTGGAATAGCCTTCCATGTTAGAAGGAGACATAGATCCCAGCGATGAATGATTGCTTCCAATATAGCTTCTGGCAGTGGACGTCCGGCTCTTGGGAGGGGGCACATCTTCCCTGAAAAGCAACGTCCCCCAAAAAAAGTTAAAAGAACCAATTTCTGCAAACATAGATTTAGACAAGGTATTAGTTTATGAGTAAGGGTGTTGTGTAAGGGGCAAGTGTGTTAAAGTGATTGGCACAGAAAAAACAAGCCCCAAAGGGCCTAATATCCTGAGTGATGTGCTTGTTCCCATGTAGTAAATAAACAGAATGAAATATGGCCTTTATGCACAGATGGGAATGATTTCACCATATTGCCTTGTGAGAAACAAGTATCAAGTAGTTTCAGATGATCAGTGAAGATCCATTCATTACAGTCAGAACATTTTCGAGTTGCTAAAATACTAATATATACACATATATGTGTTAGCAATATAATATTATATATATATAAAGCATGCATTACACATATATTTATATATTTCTCGCTAAAAAAATACACTTGTACAATGAAAGACATCTAAGACTTTACATGAAAACATTGTAGATTTCAGTTTCCAATAACTGTGAATTTAGGCATAAGAATTTTCATATCACTGACAAAGAATATAAACCTCAGTGACTTTAGGTGCACTTAAAAAATACAATTGTTCAGACCAGACCCCAGATCTATCAAATGTCTGTCATAGTGCGAAAGAATTTAAATCATGTGTTACTGCATGTGTGTGTGTGTGTGTGTGTGTGCGCGCACATGCACATGTGTGTACATGCATATATGTGTTCAGGTCCTGGGCACTGTCCCTGAGCTTTGTGGCTCAAAGCTAGTGCTCTACAACTTGAGCCACAAGCTCCACTTCTTTTGGAGATAAGAGTGCAAATGGATTTTCTTGCCTAGGCTGGTTTTGAACTGAAATCCTCTGATCTTAGCCTTCTTAGTAGCTAGTTCCTGTTACTATTTTTTTAAGTTCTGTAATCTAATTTGTAGAATATCTGTAAAGATAATACAGGGATGGTGGTTCAGCCTAAGCTACAGAGTTTCAAAAACCAAAAAGATTTCACTATGAATAGTTCTACAATACTAGTTAGTATCACTTGATGTTATCAGGGTTTTTTTTTGTTTTTTTGGGGGGGGTCCGGTCGTGGGGCCTGAACTCTGGGCCTGGTCGCTATCCCTCAGCTCTTCAGCTCAAGGCTAGTGCTCTACCACTTGAGCCACAGCGCCACTTGCGCCTTTTTTCTTTTTGCTTATGTGGTGCTGAGGAATCGAACCCAGGGTCTCGGGCATGCAAGGCAAGCGCTCTACCACTGAGCCACCTTCCCAGCCCCTATCAGGTCATTTTTAAAACATCAACATCTGCCCCATTTTCTGACAACTTTATTCCTGCCCCTTTATTATAAAAAGGCAGACAGTCTTACTGTAACTATTTTATAACAGTACTCAAAATAGGGCTTAAGAAAACTTGAGGGTCAGGCTGGGAAGGTGGCTCAGTGGTAGAGCGCTTGCCTTGCATGCATGAGGCCCTGGGTTCGATTCCTCAGCACCACGTAAGCCGGGAAAAAAAAAAAGCCGGAAGTGGCGCTGTGGCTCCAATGATAGAGTGCTAGCCTTGAGCTGAAGAGCTGAGGGACAGCGCCAAGGCCCAGAGTTCAGGCTCCACGACCGGACCCACCCCCCCTCAAAAAAAAAAAACAAACTTGAAGGTGCACACTGACAAGTGGTTTGGACCTGTGAACCTGAAAGTGGCAAGTAAATGCTTCAAAATGTGTTAAAGGGAGGAACCAAAATGTTCACCCATCCTAAAACAGTAAAGCTAAGAGAACTAATCCTTAGAAACAGAATAGATTCCATGTATCTCTTGTAGCTGCTGCTCCATTTTATTACCTTATATCATGATGAACTTCCTTTTCATATTTTTCTTCTCTGCGCTTTTTGTGGCAGCAGAAGATGATAATACTGATAAGTAGAAGGGCAAGCAAAGTTCCTATGACCGCTCCTGCAATCGTTCCAGCTCGATTCGTCGCTAGAATAAGATAATAATAACGATATTTCAAAAGTCCATGGGACAACTATGATATTGAAGGTAGGCTACTCACTGAAAAGAGTGATTTCATTGGATCTATTAATTTTAAGAGACAAATTATACAACCTGCTATATCCCAGAGAGAAAAACGTATAAATAGAATTTTCTTCTGAACTCTGTTTCTAGCATCAAGATGAAAATGAATAGAACTTACTTAATATTGAAATCTATCTTAGTTAATACACAAGACATTTAGAGAGTGAGGGAAGGGGTGACATTGTCCAGTAAAAACTGTGCTCTACCTGACTTATATAACCGTAACCCCTCTGTACCTCACCTTTATAATAATAAAAGTTTTTAAGAAAAATTTTTTAAAAGAATGTGTTCATTACTTATGTAACAATAACCCCTTTGTACATCACCTTTATAATAACAATTAAAAAAAGTTTAAGAGTTTCTTTAAGCTGCTCTTACTTGTAATCCCTGAACACTATACAAAAGCTAATTTGACACCTTTGACCTCCTTAATATCATTTTTGGTTTTTACCAAAAAATGTGGAGATTTTCCTCCTCTGTGAAGGAGAAAGGGAACTAACCAAGTCACCAAGTGTTCTAATCAAAGCTAGCTAGTATCCTTTGCCCCTCAACCCATCCTCACTGACTAAAGGAGGCTCTATGAAGATAACAGAAGTAAACTGATAGAAGATTCTTACGAGGAACAACATCAAGGCGAAGCAGACACTGATCAGAGCCCACTCTGTTCTGGACTGTGCAGCTGTATGTCCCAGAGTACTCAGAAGTAGCATTTTTGACAGATATAACAGGTGAAGTCATTTCTATGGGGAAAAAAGCAAACTCAGTTTTACATGATGTGTGGTTCTCTGTCTTTCACCAAGTCTAGCCCTGCTGAATTTGACAGATAATGCATGATGCAAGCAAACTGCCAGGGAGCCACATGCATCTGTCTACAATTAACAGTCATCCTGAAGCTTCCTGAGATAAAGACAAAAGTTAACCATGATCCTCAGCCACAGAGCCTCAGCTAAAGCATGGGTATCGGTCTGCTGCGTAGCAGTTGCAAACATTTTGCACCACCTCAGACTATTAAAAAAAAAAATCTCAAAAAACAAAAAAACAAAAAAAACCCCAACAACTCATTCCACAAAGGCTCTTTCATGCAGCAGGAAGATGTGCAAATCCTATTTACCCCACCTAGCCGAGTGAAACATACAAAAGAAAGTCAGAAGTGATGATCCAGTTTGATCTCTAGTTGGAAAAAAAGAGAGAGAAAGAAAACTACTAAACACCAAGGTGGGGTGGACAGAAGAAAGCAGAGCATAGAAATCAGTTTGAACTTAAGAGTTCAATTGTAATAAACAAGTAAGTGATCAGATTTGGCCATTTTTTAAACTAGCTAGCTAGTGTGCCACAAGTTTTTAAATGTTTCGTTTAAACTTTCAGATATAACACAGGCAAATTACCATAGCATCAACATGAATCTAGGCAAAACATATAATATTAGCCACTCTCTAATTTATGAACATGAACATGAACATTTCGCACTACTTATGAAAGTCTACCTAAAAAGCTAATTCTCAAAGGCAAAATCATTTGTTATTGAAAACTTCCACTCATATAACACTGAGTTGCCATTACAAAATACAGAAAAATTCACATGGTAGCTCTGATTACGCTGTAGAAATGAAAAGTATTTGTGAATTAAAAATATGCGATCACATACACATATAAGCACTACTAAATTTAAATCCAAAGCACTGGCACATGATAAAATTTGTATTATGGGCAATACCTGCTAGCCATGGAGTGGGCATTTTCTGGGAATCAGACAATTTTTGCCATTCGTATCGCAAGGGAAGTGAACCTTCTTTTGGTTCACATTTTAGCTTGAAATCATTTCCAATTTCTTCTGATCCATCAACAAAACATCTTGTACCTGAAGGCTTAACTGAGGAAGATAAAAAAAAAAAAGAAGTTTTTATACAGAATGGGTGTGTGTGTTGGTTGTGGGGCTTGAACTCTGGGCCTGGGCGCTGTCCCTCAGCTCTTCAGCTCAAGGCTAGTGCCCTACCACTTGAGCCACAGCGCCACTTCCAGCTTTTTGGTGGCTAATTGGAGATAAAGAGTCTCATATATTTTCCTGCTTGGGCTGCTTTGAACCAGATCCTCTGATCTCAGTCCCCTGCGCTGCTAAGATTACAGGCATGAGCCACTGGCACCTCGCCAGAATAGACTTCTTAGTTACTTAAACACCACCATGGTCCATGATCACCGAGACCTCATCAGTTGGTCCTTGGCTCCAAAGTGACAAAAAAACAAAAGACCACAATAAAAGGTGAGAATAGCATTTTCCTCAGCTTCCCAAACACAGAACAGGTTAAGAAAGAACTTCAGCAAGCAGCCATTGCCCAAGGAGGTTTTGGCCATGTCTTGGGCACAGCTCCGTGCTCCTCCATTTTACGGGCATGCATAAGGAAATCAAGGAGGAAGAAGAGGACTGTCACTTGAGACTCAAGCAAAGAAGCTCCTCTCCCTATTTCTTATCTATTCTTCTCCAGGATCTGAATACGTGCCAAGTCATTTCTCTCTGTGCGCTGATAGCCTCACAACCAAGAGATTTATTATCACGAATGCTGGTAACGGGGCAAAACAGAAATAGTATTTTACTTCTACTACTTAGGTTTCCTATAAATTCTGTAGCTAGTTTTACATCTGTCTTCCCACCCTGGTTAAGTGTCCAGACTGCTTTTATTCCTTCATTACTATGAATAAAGGTGATGGGTTTTATATCTCTCAATTCTTATATACACCACCACCTGAACTTCATGTATTACTGAGTGCAATTTAATTGTATGGTTATCACAATAAGGAACGGCTAGAGTTGGTCATCAGGATTTGCTATATTCACCAGAGCATCTTCAATTAAGGTTCTCAATCAAGATCTCACACTGTCTTAAGTTTCTTGAGTATTAGTAGAAGCATTTAACTGCATTATTGAGTTTTGAAACAAATGTTTTTTCAAACTAACTCTCGAAACAACTACATTAATTGGGATTGTAAATAAATTTTGAGTATTACTTTGTATAATGATTCTTCAACAAAATAAGCCTCATTTCTTCCATTTCTTCACACTATCAATAAACAATTACTATAACCTAGCGGTCAATGAGATGTTATAGCAGTGTTTTATACGTGGAGCCTCTATTGGTATGCGACGCTAACTTTAATCCTCACCCTTACTATTGAAAATGTCCCCCTCGTATACCAAACCTGCCCAATAATGGGCATTCATTGAAAGCTGCTGCTTGGGAAACCCAAAGTCCTGCTGAATCCAAGGTTTCCACACTCACTGTCCACACAAGATTTTTTATCAACATTGGTTTCCAAAAGACACCTGAGCAACCCAAATGTTTTGAGAGAGAGTAGAAAGCACAAGTCATTCCATGAAAAAATCAACTATTGACTACTGACACTTGCTCGTACAGGAAAAAAAAAGAGAGCAATGAAGGAAACAGAGATGGCTGTTAAATGGTGCTTGGGTCTGGGTTTCCAGAACTTTTGGCATTTTGGTTCATGGCTACAAGGCGTACAGGTTTTGATGAATCACCTTTCACTGCCCTGTAAATATTATGACAGTCACTCAGTACTGAAGAATCATGCAGAGCCAGTGAGGCGAGTGACAGCACCAGGGAACTAACGCTGGATTGGGTCACTAGAGGGCACTTCATCTTATCTTTTCCCACATTCTCTGGGAAGGATTTCCAGGCACCGTTAACAACAGATAAGCTTCATTCCAATTCCCACTTTAAGAGAAAACAATTCTGGTGGTTTCCTCAGCTCTAATGGTAACTCACTGGAAAACAGAAGAAAAAGCTACAGAAAGTAAGCTTTGGTTCCTGTTTGGTGACAGCCTGAGCAATCACTTCTTATTTACCCAATTTATCTCCTCTCCCTCCCTCCCTTCCTGGTTGGAATTCATAGCTTATTTGGCTACGGTAATCTCCCACAGAGCTAACAAAAAAGAAAGCCTTCTCACCCAGACTGAGGGAATGGTTCGGGTTGGAAATTTAACTCCAGGGCCATTCCTGCGGTGGGTGGGTCCAGTCTGTGATGCTATGAGCACTATTATTTGCTTAGCATATCATGCACCCTTGCTATTGCCCAAACCTACCTCCCCTTAGGTATGTGTGGCCTTATGCTGTAACAAAATCTATTCCCTGGGACCTACAAATATAACCTATGACCTGCCCCACAGGGTCCAACGAGGCAAGACCCAAAGCTTCCAGGGTACCTGCTTCACTTACTTTCTCACCAAAGGTGAACATTTTTAACTAGTACCTGATAGGTTGGAATGCTTTATGTTTACTTTTATTGGTGCCAATACCTAGGCTTGAACTCAGGGTCTGAGTGCTGTCCCTAAGACTCCCCTCTCTGCTTCCCTTCAAGGCTAGCTAGCTAGCACTCATCACTTCAGGCTAAAAACCACCAAAAGGTGGTTAATTGGAGGTAAAAGTCTTATAGACTTTTCTAACCCGGCTGACTTTGAACAGCAATCCTCAGATCTCAGCCTCCTGAATAGCTAGGATTACAGATTACAGATAAGAGCCACCTGGGCCCAGCTTTAAAAAAAGACTGCCTTTGGTGTCCATTCCAACAGAATGGTGACTGACCAACAAAATAACATTCCCCAAAGTGGCCACTGCCGTGCAAAAACATTCACTCTCGTGCTCCTAGTTTTTACATTTATCCATCCACTCCTAGCCAGTCCTCTTAAACAAAAGGAAGTGAGCAAGCCTGTCCTAATTAGTTATTTCCTAAATTTTATTAAGCTATTCTAGCCATCAACATTTCATACAATAAGGAAGTCCACAGGGTCCTCTAGAACATGGCACTTTTAAGTCATTGAATAAGGAATTTTACTGTAATAAAATAAAGAAATGAGACTATTATGTTTATCTACATGTTATCTACTTGGTAGTCATTATACATTTTTGTGCGGCGTCTACAGTAAAAAGTTTTGAAAGCATATTTGTGGTTATATAATCTTTTTATTTACTTAAGAGTGCTTGCTTGGGCACAATATCACACCTTTAGAAGGATAATAAACGTGAGAGTCTGACAGTTTACCCAGCAGCTCACAGTTATTTCCTTAACTATCAGAAAGAGAGAGAGAGAGAGAGAATTAGGAGACATCTTATCCACTGTCTAAAGCCCATACTTGCAAGGATGAAAATCACTGATGTCAGGGAATTAAGTAACTACCTGATATCTAATTGCCTTCCTCCAATCAGTGAGAGTGAAAGTGTAAAGCCTATAGAAACACTTTGGAACAGAATGGGAGGGATCTGACGGTTGAATAGTCTTATGTTGCAAAATGGTTTGAGGGTCACAGAAATAAACAAGTTCTACTCTGGGATCCAGGCTAAGGATGGTACAGAAAACTCAGACCTCTTACTTCCTGACTTTTCCACCTGCTGTTGCTATAACAAAAGAGCTGGGGCTAGATCATTTATATCTTTAAAATTCTATTTCACTTACAATTTGGGAGGTCCAAGAATATGGTGCCAGACTGCTTTGTTCTAGTGAGGAGCTCATGGTAGAAGGGAAATGGGCATTTGAAGGAGAGCAAAGGAAATGACTGCTCTGTAACAGCCAGCATTCACGAGCAACAAATCACTGTCGCGAGGACTACATTATCCTCTCACAAGGATTCATTATCCTCTAACAATCCTCTAATCATGTGTTTGTTACCGGCCTCTCCACCTTTCAAAATGTTTATATCAAGGAATTTAAGCCTCAATTATGAGATCGGATAGTGATGAGCTATCTTCAAACCATAACACAGTGCTATCTTTCTATCAGGAGTCCGATTATTCCCAACTCACTGAACTTCAAAAATAATTTGGTCACTTATTTACCTCAGACAAACAAAAAACAAAAACAAAAATACAACACACTAGCTTTGTCTTTTATGCTATTTGAGGATTTTAGAAGTACTTCAAAAGTTTAAAATTATTATTCTAAAACCCTAAACTTTTATCTTACATAAATGTTGCTGCTATACACTACTATGAAAGTACTGTTAATAAGTAATTTAGTATTACAGATTACATAATAACAAATAACTTAATAACAAAATAACTTACCGAGAACAGTCAGCAGAACTTTCTTATTTGCAACACCAGGAGCTTTCTTCACTTTGCACTGATAGGTGCCGATATCTGATAGTTGCAAGTTTGTTATGTTTATTGATGCATCACCAGATTTGAGATCACTACTTGTGAAATGTACTCGACCTTTCAGATCTTGATAGTAGTCATCATAAATTTTGTCTCCAGAGTATAAAATAATCTAAAAGCAAGGTCAAAATAAGACAGGAGACAAATACACAAAACAAAAAGAAAACTATCTCATTCAGGAGCTCTGGATATGCCACAATACTGCAGAATCTAAAATCAAAAGGGGAAGGACACTGTGTGAAGCCCACAGCCATCTATGCATAAAATGAGGAAAATTAAAAGAATCAAGTGAGATATGCGTATAGTTCCACTTTTCTATTTAAAATAGGGAAACCAAGAGCAAATATAGTCACAGAATCGAGGATGCAGAGTTGTTCATTTCTATGCACTATACATTTCATCTGCCATTGGAGCAGTCTATCAATTAAGCATACTAAAAGAAGTATATACTGTTCTGTTTCTCAAAAAAAAAAAAGGCTTATAGTTTACCACATTATGTAATAATAAAATTAACAAATTTACACCAGGCCCTGGTGGCTCAAGCCTATAATCCTAGCTACTCAGGAGGCTGAGACCTGAGGATCGCGGTCCAAAGCCAGCCTTGGGCAGTAAAGTCTGTGAGACTCTCATCTCCAATAAACCACCAGAAAATCGGAAGAGGCACTGTGGCTCAAGTAGTAGAGCACTAGCCTTGAGTTAAAGAGCTGAGGGATATGCCCAGGCCCAGAGTTCAAGCCCCATGGCTGACCAAAAAAATTAACAAATTTAAAAGAAAAAATAAAAGCATTTTTGTGTTAAAGTTAAGTTGGAGGCACCTTGAGAATTCTTGTTCCTAGTACATCAAAATTATTAAGATAAGCCTTTTAATATGGGTCTTTGGGTTAACAAAACCTATGAATGAATCTTTGGCGACTAAGTCAAAGACTACTTCCTATTTCAATGAGTTTTCTGAAACACTACTACAGAATTTGGTGGAAATCACTGAAGGCTAGATTAAGGAAGATAATTCTGTGTTTATTTGGTTTGGAAACTGGGTTTGGTAATATGTGCTTACAATCTCGGCTACTCGGAAGTTCAGGTAGGAGGATTAAGATCTGAGGCTGGCGGGCCCAAAAATGTTAAGAGTTTATCAGAAAAACAAGCTAGAGCAAAAGGGACAAGTAGCATGATTCAAGCTGTGGACTGCTGGCCCCAGTTGTAAAAGCCGTGAGTTCAGTCCCCAGTAATTTTGTTTAAAAAACAAAAACCTGAAGCTCTACAATGGTAATCTCTAACAACCCCTAAAATTAATGTTTTTTTGGGGGGGTCCAGTTGTGGGGCCTGAACTCTGGGCCTGGACGCTGTCCCTCAGCTCTTCAGCTCAAGGCTAGCACTCTACCAGTTGAACCACAGCGCCACTTCCGGCTTTTCTCTTTTTGCTTATGTGGTGCTGAGGAATCGAACCCAGGGCTTCATGCATGCAAGGCAAGCGCTCTACCACTGAGCCACCTTCCCAGACCCTAGTATGTTTTTCTTATTTCTTACATTGGTCACTGAAATCTAGTCAAAAAGCCTGACTATAATGTATACCTTGAAAACCATTTCCTTTCTGTTGGTAATTTAGGTGGTATAATTTGAGGAAAATGGCATGAAGGATACCTTTTGCCCAGTTTCCTATAAAGAATCGCCTGAGAGGGGAAACTCACACTGTCTTTCCAACTCTCATACAACCCCAGCCCTAACTAAAAACCCGAGTGTGTGAGTGAGTGTGAGTGAGTGTGTGTGAGTGTGTGTGTGTACACATATGTATTGACTATTACCAGGATACACTCAACGCTTAGTTTTATTAAGTACATATATATAAAAAGCAGTTGGAAAAAAAAAAAGCCGAGGGCCCCACAGCTGAATTGCCCCACCCACTTCTCCACCTCAGCACTGAGAACTTTGTGCAGAGAAACAGTAGCTTCCTTTGAATTACACTACTGACTTAATTGAAGGACTCTAAGCTAGAATCTATTCTACTTTCCTTCCCCCAGGTTGTGGGACTGGTGTGCCGTCTCTAAGTTGTTTTTGCTTAAGTCTAGGACTTGCCCACTACTGGTTTTTGAGTGGTTAATTAGAGATAAGAGTCTCCAGGGACTTTTCAGCCTGGGCTGTGATCCTCAGAGCTCAGCCTCCTGAGTAGCTAGCATTACCGGCATGAGCCACCAGCACCTAGCCAATCCATTCTACTTTTAATAGCTCATTTTGCAACATACACATTACTAGTCTTCAAAAATGGGCCTGACAAGCCTGGCACTGGTGGCTCACGCCTGTAATCCTAGCTACTCAGGAGGCTGAGATCTGGGATCATGGTTCAAAGCCAGTCTGGGCAAGAAAGTCCATGAGACTCTTATCTCCAAAAAAACCACCAGAAACCCAGAAGTGGTACTGTGGCTCAAGTGGTAGAACAGTATCCTTGAGCAGACAATCTCAAGGACAATGCCCAGGCCCAGAGTTCAAGACCCAGGACCGACCAAAAAAAAAAAAAAAACCAGGGGGGGGGGGGGGGGAGACTGACAAATAGGTTTACATTGTGAGTTATTTTATAAACTAGGAGTAACTAACATTAAGCAGGCAATTCCACACAACTCCACAGATTCTTCTTCACCCCAGGGATGCATTAGAGCACTGTCCACATGTAACACCTAGCCTAAGAAAAACAGTAAGTAGTTCCTACACACCAAGCTTTGCAGTCACACTTAGCTGCCAGCCAGATCTGTTTGACACAATGCATGATTAACATTTTTATACCTGTTCTTCCTATTATTTTTTAAATAACTTTGTATACTATATACATATCTATACATACATATGCTATGAATATATAGTACTTTGTTTATAATGGTAGTGGAGAAAGTCCTCCAAAAGATGGTACTTAGTTAATGATGAAACAAGATTCATATACAAAGCACAGTTGTTTTTCTGATTCCCATTCTTATTAATATTTTTACATCTACTTACAAGCTGATAAAATAGTTGTGCATAGTGTTTCACTGAATTCCTTTAACACCTCAGAGGTAATCAATAACCAGTCCCTATTTAACACCTTTTTTTTTACATCTTTTAAAAAAGGTAGTGGCGCTGTAGCTCAAGTGGTAGAGCGCTCGCCTTGAGCTGAAGAGCTGAGGGACAGAACCCAGGCCCAGAGTTCAAGCCCCACGACTGACAAAAAAAAAATAATAATAATTTAAAGCCGGGCGCTGGTGGCTCACGCCTGTAATCCTAGCTACTCAGGAGGCTGAGATCTGAGGATCGAGGTTCAAAGCTAGCCAGGGTGGTAGAGACCGTGAGACTCCTATCTCCAATAAACCACCAGAAAACCGGAAGTGGTGCTGTAGCTCAAGTGGTAGAGAGCTCGCCTTGAGCTGAAGAGCTGAGGGACAGCGCCCAGGCCCAGAGTTCAAGCCCCATGACCAACAACAACAACAACAACAACAAAAAAGGTGTATGTATCTAACATGAGAGGCAAAAGGGGATCACCAAAGTACAGAGAACTGGACTCAAATCTCAGCTGCTAGCTGTGTGGCCACAGGCTTGTTCCTGCACATAGCTGATACCATTTCTACCTTGTCATATTCTCACTTAAGGGTGTCATTTCAAGGCTTACATAAAATACTCACAGTCAGGCTGGACTGTGTAGTGATGTTTCTGTGGCTAAGTTTCTTTCATAGCCCTCTTGTGTTTGTGTGAGAACAGTCTGTGGTTTTCACACAATGACAAAAATATATAATACCTAACAATGTATTTCTCAGAACTTACCCACAATACTGAGTGTGGCATGGCTATCTAATTAAAGAACACTACCAAAAACATAGTACATGCTCACTGCTGACTAAAGTGATCACAGAAGAAGGGAGACCAGTCCTTTGATTCCAAGTCCTTAACTACTGTCTGCTAAATACAGTAAAAAAGGATTCTGCCAAGTGAATTTACTGAAATTCTAAATAAACCCTCTCTTCTGTATAATCTCCCTTTAACCTTATCTTTCTTCTACTGTTTTAGGCCAGGTTTTTCCTTTTTTTTCTTTTTATACACTATATATGTGTATATACATATATTTGCATATATGTGTGTATCTATATATGTATGTATGTATGTATGTATTTATGTATGTATACAGACACATCTCAAAACATCCCTCAAAATATTTAACTTGTTCTTCTCCTCCTGGTCTAATTTTATTTTATTAAATGTGTCCGATGAAGCTAATAAACAACCTTGTAGATAAAATGAGGGTTTTAAAAGGCAAAAGGAGATACTCACTTTTGGAGACGGCAGTACCTGGCAAATTTTAGGGGTGGGGTGCATGTGTGTCTGCAAGCACAAGCAGTTTTTGGTTTGCAAGTTTTCTACATTAAGTACTTATTACCTCAACTAGGAAAAAGTATTATAAATGTACTTTTGTATTTTTAAATTAATGACTTACGTTAACTGTAACCCTCTCTATACCTCACCTTTATAGTAATCATTTTTAATTAATGATTAAGCATTTTATGTACTGTATCTTCGTGCTACAATGACTTCATTTTGTTTCTGAAGAAACTCAATGCATAGGATATTTAAGGCAAAGAGTAAGATGAATAGAATCTAATAATATATGCCTATGTTTCAGTATATCTTACATTTTACAGTAACAGAATGCCTGTGTATTCTATCCGACCTTTAACATAGCATTTCCTCCCTGCCATCCATGACATAACCACACCCACTTCCGTCTTGCGCCCTCTGGACACCCAGCACAATTTCCTGACTTATAACAAACAATTTCTAATCAAGACTTTCAGTACTTTCCCAAGTTCCTCTTCTTCCCTGTAACCTTCTCTAAGGAACAGAATGACCTCTTCCCAATTGTAATCTGAAGTCAACTTACTATCCATTTCACTTCATTACCTCGGTGACCTCAACTTCCCCCACTAGGTGACTGCCTTCCTCACAAGCCTGAGCAGTCAGATTTCTTCCTTTCTCCCTGCAGCGAGACTACGCAATGTGCAGGGTGATGGGTAGGCACAGGAGAGCTGCACGGCCATCTGCACGGTGGCCCAGCCCTTCTCACACTCACCACTTGATCCACCTGCTGATTATCGGATGGAGATAGCAGCCATTCAATGTCCAGTGGCCCCTGGTCTTCCTGGCTGAGGGTGAACTTGCAGGGCAGATAGGCTGTTTCCCCCTTAGCTTTTTCAATCGTCTGTTCAGGAGTGGTGATACTCAAGCCTCTGGTGAAATCTGGAGAAAGAAGCACCCAAATGGGACTAAGCAACTGCAATGACTCCGGCACATGGCCTTGCGGCCACGCTGGGCAGCACAGTGCCGGGGGACGGGGGTAGGGAAGACCCAGAAGAATGGCGGTTCAACTCAGTCGTGCCTTTGTTTAAATGGAATGACACTATTAATATCCTCTGCTTTTCTTTAAAACATTACGAACTTTCCAACACCACACAAAATAACTTTATGATTCACTGCGCATTTCTGTATCCCAGCAGACATTTTTAAATTGCAGTTGGCTAGAATCTGCAAAAGTTCAGTTATAACCTAGAAATCACACTAATTCACACTCACTACAATGGAACGAATACATCTGCAAGTGATTTTTGATAGGGCCAAGGTAACGATTTTGACACATGTTCCTGCTAAAGCTTTTTTTTGGGGGGGGGGAGGGGAAATGGGAGGGTCAGTCATGGGGCCTGTACTCTGGACCTGGGCGCTGTCCCTCAGCTCTGCAGCTCAAGGCTAGCGCTCTACCTACCACTTGAGCCACAGCGCCACTTCTGGCTTTTTGTGTTTCTGTGGTGCTGAGGAATTGAACCCAGGACTTCATGCATGCAAGGCAAGCACGTTACCACTGAGCCACCTTCCCAGTCCCCGATAAGGCTTTTTTAATTTTTAGTAAACTTGTATCATTTCTGTTGAATACTTAATTCATTTCAATGCAATACATTGTGACAAGAAAATGAAGACAGGAAGGAAAGAAAGAAGGAAGGAAAGAAGCAAGCAAGCAAGCACTGTCAATTTATCTGAGTGATAGGCTGCATAATATTGTTTTGAGCTAATGGCAGACCCTATGTATGACCTTTATCTCATTCAAGTTTAGTGGAAATGAAAACTTACTATTACTCCATATTTATATTCTACCTCTTACACGGATGTATACACAAATACCATTATATTCGATTTTCTTTTTTTACAAGTACCAGGACTTGAACTTAAGGAGTTTTAACCTCTCACTGGGCTTTTTTGCACAGAGCTAGTTCTCTACTACTTCCAGACCAGCATTTTTGCTACTTAATTGAAGACTGAGTGATGCAGACTTTTCTCTCTGGGCTGGCTTTGAACCACAATCCTCTAGGTCTTAGCCTCCTTAATAGCTAGAATGAAAGGCCTGAGCCACCAGAGCCCAGCTATTTCCAAAGCTTTTAATAGCATTTAAGAACATTTCTCAAACAGATTTAAAATGGATGCAAATTTCCTCTGCTTCCTCCTGTTTAAGTCTCCAGCTGAGCTTGCTTTGACCAACAGAATTTACAGGCGCTGCCCGGTGCAATAGGCCTCAAAAGCTCTGCTACACCCATCCCCTCCTCTTTTGGACCCCTCTCACTGTGAACAAATCTCAGGGGAAAGAATGGATGTGTCTCTTATCCCTGTGGATAAGCCCCATCCTACGCGCTTGCCTCACCTAACCTGGAAATGTATAGGATCATGGACACAGGATTTCTTTGTGTTAAACCTCCACTTGAGTTGATTTTTACACAGCACGATTGATGACCACTATGCAAACCCAATAATTCAGACCATCAATGTACTAATCTCCCAAAGACCTCATTACTTCAGTCTCCATTTCACAGCTACATATTTAAAATAGGACTTCCTATGTATTTATATCTCTCGCTAAACATGTTTTTTTTTTTGGGGGGGGGCGTTTGGCGTTGGGCCTGAACTCTGGGCCTGGGCGCTGTCCCTTAGCTCTTCAGCTCAAGGCGAGCACTCTACCACTTGAGCCACAGCACCACTTCTGGCTTTTTTCTTTTTGCTTATGTGGTGCTGAGGAATCGAACCCAGGGCCTCAGGCATGCAAGGCAAGCGCTCTACCACTGAGCCACCTTCCCAGCCCAACATGTTTTTTTTTTTTAAGTCATGTCTAATAAACTCAGTTCCCTGCCTTCCTCAGTTGCTAAAGACATTCTTCCTCTCCGCTCTGTAACGGCCCTTCTGCCCTTGTTCACGGCACCTCACTTCACACTGTTTATACCCCACTCGGGGTTGAGCATGTACTACTACCTTGTACTGTTTTTCCTTTGCAGACTCGATGGTGAGACTATCAAGTATCGGTATTCTCGAGATTGGGTCACACTACCTCAATGGTGATTAACTTTTCATCCCAGGCTATCTCTTATATGCTTAGGACTTTTTGAAGTGCTTGTCCCATTTTACCATTAAACCATTATTTAGCACCATTACGGTTGAAAGAAACTAAAAGTAACAACTTTTTCCCATAGTTCCTTGCATGTAAAGAACAAGACTGCATTATCAGTGTGACCAGTTTTAGAAATGTTGGGAGGTGAGGGGATTTATCTGCCTGAAGAAATTCCACTTTTTTTAAGTGTTCCTTGTTTCTTTTCTCTTGGGAAAGGATGAATCCAGAGCCTCCCATATGCTAAGCAATTACACGCTCTATGCCTTCACACCAGCCGTTTCTGTCTATGGCCACTACACTTTGTTGCCTACATTTAACTTTATGTGTCAAGGAAGGTAAGAACAACCCCACTACACTTCAGAACAAAAACTGCATTTCAAAATGAATAAAATATAGCTCAGCAAAACACAAAAGTGAATATGCAAAATCACTATCATGTAATTTTGTGTTTTGAGGTTGTTTTGAGTTTTTATTTTATAGAAATGACATTCATCAAACATCAAAATATATGAAGTTCAAATCCTCCAACTTATACTGCTTATTTAACTCTATATAAAGTCACCAGAATTAAATGCAACTAAATTGTCTTCTATTCTTTTTGTTTACAGAGAAAATTACTTTGATTTTAAAATACTGAAATGCCTTAATATTTATTATATGTGTACATAAAAATGATGTTAAAATAAAAAAACACCAGCCCTAGCTCCTCAGGAGGCTGAGATCTGAGGATCCCAGTTCAAAGGCAGCCTGGGCAGCAAAATCTGTGAGACTTATCTCCAATAAACCACTAGAAAACCAGAACTGGCACTGTGGCTGAGCGCTAGCTTTGGGCTGAAAAACTGAGGTCAGGTCCAGAGTTCAAGTCCCACACCAGAAAATTTAACAAAAACTAAAAGGCAAAAAAAAAAAAAAAACAAAACGTTACCAGCAACTATTTTTGAGAACTGAGAATCCAATGACAGAAAACGCCAATTCCAGTGAGGTTTTTTATTTTGTTTTGTTTTGCTTTTTTGGTTGGTCGTGAGGCTTTAACTCCGGGCCTGGGCACTGTCCCTCAGCTCTTCAGCTCAAGGCAAGCGCTCTTACCACTTGAGCTACAGCACCACTTCTGGTTTTCAGGTGGTTAATTGAGATAAGAATCTTTCCTGCCCAGGCTGGCTTTGAACCACGATCCTCAGATCTCAGCCTCTTGAGTAGCTAGGATTACAGGCATGAGCCACCAATGCTGGTGCCTATTCTGTTTTGTTCTATGTTTTGACATTTACACACAAGTTCTAATTTGTAGGTTCTGCATCTACAGAGTCAAACAAGCTTGGGCCAAAAGTATACTTTTAAACCTACATCCAAGCCAGGCACTTGTGGCTCACACCTGTAATGCTAGCTACTGAGGAGGATGAGATCTGAGGATTGCAGTTCAAAGCCAGCCAGGGCAGGAAAGGCCATCAGACCATCAGACCTCTAACCAGCAGAACATCAGAACTGGAGCTGTGGCTCAAAGTGGTAGAGCACGAGCCTTAAGGAGCTTAGTAAGAGCACACAGGCCCTGAGTTCAAGCCCCAAGAAACTGCATCTATACTAAACACAGATTCTTCCTTGCTATTCCGTTACTGTATAAGAATTGCATAGCATTCATACTATATTATAGTTAATCTAGAAATGATTTTCAAGTATATTGAAGGATGTGCTGGGTTTGCATGCAAAACATTATACCATTCTATGTAAGGAAATGGAGCATCTGAGCTTGATTAGCCTGTGGAGACCAAGGGATGACTACACTGCTTGAGAAATTTCAAAGTGATTTTTTAAATGACTTTCAGTATTTCTTCTTCAAAATGATACTTAAAACATTCAACTGCTCTTAATTGTGTTGTACTAAAAGTGAACTGACATCTCGAGATCCTACAAAAACAGTTCCTGGGTTTCCTAGCAATACTGGAAGGTATCTTCCCATAAAAGCAGGTTTTTTTTCCTGCCAAGTGCTGAACTACCTAGCAGTCACCAATTGCATGAAACAAAGGCAGACGCTTGGTCCCATCCAGTGGCCCTACAGAGTCTTTCTCCACTGTCCAATATTATTCATACAGCAAATTGATCACTTAGCTTGCAAATCGAGTACAGATTCAAAGTTGGCTTGAAGATTAAATAAAATCTTACATCTTCTTACAATGTTGTATTTATATTTATATTCTCGAACGTGACCAAATATAAAGCAAGTGTCCAGTCACAAGAGTTGGCCGAGTCCAGTCGTAAGTGCTCAGAACTGGAGTATATAAATAAACACAGTGAATCCCATCACCCACTGGCTGTGATTCAAGTCACATCCCCCAGCTTTCTGCTTGTTCTTTTTAATCTCAACTTTCTAAATCATTTGGACTTTTAAGGCTTCCCTGTTGCCCAGTCTCACTTCAAGCTGAGCATCAAAGTAACATGAATTTATCAAAGAATATTTTTCAGCCCTTAAAGGTCACCTCCTACCAAACAGCCTTAGAAGACCCATTTCTACCCAGCAAGGAGTGTTGAACTAGAGATAATGAAGGCTGCAGTTTTGACTGTAGAAAAGAGGCAGTGTTCTGAACACACAGCATGTCTTCATTTGCTTCATTTTTCAAGTTTAAGTTATTTATTTTTAACTTGGCCAGTCTAAAGTAATCTTTTCTTTCTAGTCTTAAGATTTAAAAGCAAAAAACAGAAAAAAAAAACTTATGGGTTTTTTTTGTTTGGGTTTTTGTTTTTTGGTTGTTTTTTTTTTTTTTGTCAGCCATGAGGCTTAAACTCTGGGCCTGAATGCTTGCTGTCCCTCAGCTCTTCAGCTCAA